CAAACAAAAGCCCCGGGATCCCACCAGCGTGGCAGCCCAGACTGGGAAGCAGCTCCACACTTGAACGGAGCTCCGCCGCACCTCAGGAGGAAGCAAAGATGGCACACGGAGGCAGGTATTTGAGCACAAGGAGTGGGAGGTGGTGAGAGGTAAGGAAGAAATCAAAAGAATCGGAAAAAAGCAACACCAGCAGTCAACAACTGGCACTCAGAGAGGCAGCCCATTTGGGTGGGTGGAATCCAAGTAGCCGGTGCTTCCTGGACAAGAGATTGTGGCCGTGGGAAGTAGAGGAGGCCGAGTGGGGGTGAAGAAGGGTGGGGGGTGGGAAAGCGTATATCACAAATTACTGGTTGTTTTGTCTCCCGCTGCAAGCTCCTTGAAGCTGCTTTCTCATACCCCCTGTTTGCTGGTCTCCGATAGGAGTCCAAGATGGTGGATCCGCGAGGTGTTAGCTGACAGGGGACCTCTGCATGAATCTCTCCTCGCTCTCCGTTCTCTGTCAGTTCTCTCACTCCATTTGGTGCTTGGCTGAGTTCTTTATCTCTTCATTTGATGTTTTAGGGTTTCAGGATTGTTGTTTTCTCTGTTCAGCTTAGTTTTTCGGATCTTTGGTGTGGAGGGAAGGTGTGGTGCTTCTGCCTAGGGCGCCAATTTGCCCGATTGTCCACCGTTTTGTCATCTGATGTTATCTTCCTATGTGTTGTAAAACCTACGTTTGTGATGTTAATGAGGCATGATTAGAGGCTGTTAATGAGGCAGGACTCAATCTTCAAGAGTAGCTTGTGTCTTGAATCAGTCTCTTTTGAGACATAAAGGAAGCAAGCAGAGAGACGGGGGACGTCATACCACCAACAAACAAGAACCAGAAGATTAATGCATCCTTTGGACCTTGGGTCCATGTGCTGAGAAGCTCCTTGACTGGGGAAGATTGATGACAAAAACCGTCCCACAGAGCCGAGAGAGAGAGAAAGCCTTCCCCTAAAGCTGGTACCCTGAATTCAGACTTCCAGTCTCCTAGACTATGAGAGAATACATTTCTCTTTGTTAAAGACATCCACTTGTGGTATTTCTGTTATAGTAGTACTAGATAACTAAGACAGTCATGCTGAACACCTTGAAGTGTTACCACCTGCCAATCTTTTGGCTAGTAGTTGAGTGCTTAACTGTTTGTGCCACCCAGGAAGCCTGCATTTTATTTACTTATTTATGTACATACATATCTATCTATTTATCTATCTATCTATCTATATATGGTCATGCATACATACATATGTATGTATCTAAATCAGAATTGATTCAATGGTAACTGACAACACCATATATAATATACATACCATGGAACAGTGGTTAAGAGCTTGCCTGCCAACCAAAAGCATTAGTAGTTCAAATCCACCACCTGCTCCTTGGAAACCCTATGGGGCAGTTCTACTGTGTCCTGTAGGGTAGCTATGAGTTGGAATCGACTTGACGGCAATGAGTATGCATATATATGTATATACATATTTATGTGGGTGTGTGTGTATATATATATATATATATGAATATATATATACACACACACACACATGTTGTTGTTAGGTGCCATCGAGTTGGTTCCAAGTCATAGCAATTGTATGTACAACAGGATGAAATGCTGCCTGGTCCTTTGCCATCCTCACAGTCATTGTTATTCTTGCGCCCATTGTTGTAGCCACTGTGTCCATCCATCTCGTTGAGTGTCTTCCTGTTTTTCACTGACCCTACAGTTTACCAGCCATAATGTCCACCTCCATGGACTGGTCCCTCCTGATAACATATCCAAAGTACGTGAGATGGAGTTTTGCCATTCTTGTTTCTAAGGAGCATTCTAGTTGTACTTCTTCCAAGACAGATTTGTTCGTTCTTCTGGCAGTTCATTATGTGTTCAGTATTCTTCGCCAGCACCATAAAGTCAAATGCATCAATTTTTTGGTCTTCCTTATTCATTGTCCAGCTTTCACATGTATATGAGTTGATTGAAAACACCATGTCTGGGGTCAGGTGCGGCTTAGTCCTCATGGTCACATCTTTGCTTTGCAACACTTTAAAGAGGTCTTTTCCAGCATATTTGTCACCTGTGCAACATGTTGTTTGATTTCTTGACCACTACTCCCATGGGCGTTGATTGTGGATCCAAATAAAATGAAATCCTTAACAACTTCAGTCTTTTCTGTGTTTATCATGATGTTGCTTATTGGTCTGGTTGTGTGTATATGTGTGTGTATATATATATATATATATACAAGCACATGTACACACACACATATATATAAAAAATAGCCCACACTGTCACTATGTCTTGAAACTCCTCCCATAAAACTGTGAAGCCATGTTGATGTTTTTTTAGATGCACAAATGTTTCAAACTCTTCACTGCTTTAGATCCTTTCCTGTGTTTTTTTTTTTTCTTTCTAGAGTTTTCTTAACCTCAGTTTTCCACAAGGCCAGCTCAGAACTCATTTCCTCAGTATGGCCTTTGAGGGCCACTCTGTTTAAATAGTTGTTTCCCATATCCTTTTGGTTCCTTCTTTATCTCAGCTAGTTGGTTTTTTTTTTTTTCCTGCTTTCTTCCTTATAGCACTTTACATTCTGTATTTACTCTTTGTTCACTTGCATATTGTCTATTATCCACATTGAACTGTGAGCTCCATAATGTCAGGAATTTGGGTGATGCAAGTGGTTTGTGATCCACTGTTAACCTAAAGGTTAGCGGTTTGGACCTTCCCAGAAATTGCAGAAGAAAGACCTGGCGAACTGCTCCCATGAAGATCACAGCAAGAAAACCCTCTAGGGCAGTTCTACTCTGTCACATAGGGTCACTATGAGTCAAAACCAGCTCGATGGCACACAACAACAACATTCTATTAATAATTCCAATATGTGTTATTTTTACTCTTAATTTAACCCTTCTCTGATATATTTATCCGAAAATGATGTAAGCATAATTGTTTAAGTGACTTTGGCCACCCTTGGATAGCTTTAATTTGAGAGTCATTTCTTTCTTAAAGATCAGGGATTTGTCAAGAATTATACAGTAATAAATGACAGTTATTTATAATGAATACCTCCCAGCTCCCCCACTTAGTAAGTCTTCACTTCAGAGAGTCATTATCTTTAAGTCAGTGGTTCTTAACTCTGACTGCTTGTCAGAGTATCTAGGAAGATTTTTAAAATTGCCAATGTCAAGGCCTCACCCTTTTGATTTGATTAGATCAGAATCTGGTGTAGGTCTGGGCATTGATTTGTCTAGAAGTTTCCCAGTGATTGTGCTGTGCACCTGAGGTTGAGAACTGTTGCTTTTTAAATTGTTGCTTTTCCAAATGTGATTTCAAAACTTTCCTGAAACTAAGTATCATCTGGTGTTTATTACAAAAGCATGTATTCCTGGGCTCTAGCTCAAACATACTAAATCTAAACTTTCTAGGGGAAAAGTCTGATCATCCATGTAAAACAGGGTCAAGAGATTCTTAGCCAGCAAATTTTAGGAAATAGAGATGTGTGATGCCTATTTGTAACAGGTCAGACACTTAGATGCTTGAAAGATTAAGGCCTCCTATGTTTTCTTATATGAGGACTGGGCCTAATTCTTTTGTGAGTCTAGGAGAAGGTTTGCATAGTTGCTATAGTGCTAATTCACTGCTTTTTCTTTTTGCTGGTTTAGAACTATATTGTGGAACCTTAGTTTGTGCCCCTAATCCAGAAGAAGGAGGAAAATCATAAAAAGGAGAGAGATGTCAGGAGGCTGGATGAGGACAAGAATAAAACAAATGTGTGCTCTCTGTTTCTGATTCCTGTTTTAGTTAGATGGAAGCAGTGTTTGGCTTTAGAGATTAACTTTGGTTTTCTTTATTAAGGATAGGGTATATTCTGATAGTCACAGGTTTTTTCATAGCATAGGAAAATAGTTGGTGTCTGCTTTTTTGATAGAACTTTCCTTTTTCCTAGCCAACTGTGAGTTTTTATGGAGAAATATGTGAGTATAGACAATATAAGTATAAATTTGACAGAACACCTGAAGATTCTTAATATTTTCAGGTTTACCATGAACAGTTTTGATGGAAAGCAATCTTACAGAATGCTTGTTAGTAATTTTTAATTTTGTCTGGGCACAATGCATTCAACTTTATGTGTTATGAGGTGGTGCACAGGCTTACTCTTAGCATCCGAGCTTTGCCAAATGTCTCACATCCTCATCTCTGTGCAGGTCTTCTGTTCTATACTCCCAGCACTTGTGCAGCAGTTCTTCTCAAATCAACACAGACTTTTTCTTTTTTTAATGGGGAAACAGAAAGCTTCTCCACCTTCCTCCCCCTAAGCAAAACCAACTGTTATTCCTGGTGGTATTGGAGAAAGTAAAGAACTTGAGAAAGTGATGGTTCTTAGCCCTAAGGCAAAGTTCTCCTTTAGTCTTAACTAGATGGCACTTTTAAGTTAATGAATGAGGGTCACATAACTAAAAAAAAAAAAAAACAAAAAAAAAACACAATAGTTTCCTGTATGTTTATTCAGCAATTGTGTGCCAATTTGAGCACTTGGAAATGCTTTGGGCTGTATCTAATGGATATATTCAATGTAAGAAGTCGTTTGTGGTTCTCAACTATGAAAAACTGACAAGAATCACTGTGAAACTCTTAAAAATACTGTGGAGTAGGTCTGAGTGTACCCTGAGTGTCTTAATTTTTAAGTTTGATTTTATTCTTTTAAGTTCCTCAAGTGATTCTGACACTTATATACAAATGATAGCCTCTGGTCCAGTATATATTTTTAAGAGAGCAAAAACAAAAAGAAACACTACCTTAATGTGATGAAAAGTCATTTGGAGCTAGTTAAAATTACTATGTAAGGTCTTAGGTTCTTCAAAGAATGGTGAAAATTAAGATATTACACTTAGATTGGTAAAAAAAAAATTGTTTGGAAAGTAGGTGGTGGCAGTGATGGTGGTGTGTTTAAATATATGTATATACATTTTTTTCTTTTTTAAAGTTACATAGCAAACTTTTGGAGACAGAACGCCAACTAGGGGAAGCTCATGGTAGGCTGAAGGAACAGAGACAGCTTTCAAGTGAAAAACTGATGGATAAAGAACAACAAGTGGCTGATCTACAACTCAAACTTTCTCGTTTAGAAGAACAGGTAAACTAGTATTTTAAATGAGTTTATATTAGCAAATTTATTGATAGACTTGAGGTGTTTTAAATATTGTTAGGCTTCATCAGTCTTTTCACTGACAAGAGCTTAACTGGACATTTTTTTTTTAAATCTTTAAATTATAACATTTGTTTCTCCCCAGTAAAAACAGTCTACTTATTAATGACATTAAGTCATTTTGTTATGATTGAATTCTCTAAAGTTCTCAATACAAATGTACAAAGAAGGTTATTACCCTTTCACGTGCAGGTAGGAAAAATTCTGAGAGTAAATCACTGTCAGGCTGCTGAAGGAGTCTTCCTACTCAGGAAAGATCACTTAGTAATGAAAGAGTAAGCATGAACAATTGGTGAAGATCACTAATGACATGTAGTTGGTACATATAAACTTTGAGTTTACATTTAACGGTTTTCACTTTTAAAAATTGAACATAAGATTGAATGCTATCATTAAAATTGGGATTGCTAAAAATGGTACCCATAATATGGTTAAAGTCAAAGTTAATTCATTATATCTTTTATTAGAATTCAGCAAATATTCAGAGCTAAAATCTGTGACTTCAGCAATAGATTTTCTTTTAGACTCAAAATCTTAGATACGGTAGAGATTCCTATTCTTTTCCAACAAGTGATAACCAAGATTGTTTTGTAAAAAAATAAAACAAATACTAATACTGTGATTTAGACTATTGGTACAAATAATTTTTATGTAATTCCTTGAGCATATTAGTATACAAAAAATAATAACTAAATGCCAACCCGGAGGAAGAATTTTCAGAATGAGAGTCTATTTTTAGAGAATAGTTTCTTCATCATGGGATTAATATTCTATTAGTAATGAAGTACTAAAAGTTGATCTTATATATTGTCTAAATTTAGTTTTTTGTTCATAGTTGAGAATTGTGAGATTTGGAGTAATGCTAGATATTATGTGTGATAGTATTATGCCTTTAAGTTGTTCATTTTTTTAAGCTGAAGGAAAAAGTAACAAATTCCACAGAACTGCAGCATCAATTAGATAAAACAAAGCAGCAGCATCAAGAACAACAAGCTCTTCAACAAAGCACTACAGCAAAACTTCGAGAAGCCCAGGTAGACATTATTTGAATTGTTAGCCTTTCAAACAAAAATTAAACTAAACTATTATTCTTTTGTTGATGACTTTGATAAGAACAATTTGTGTAGAGAAGGTGATAGGCAAGTCTGATTGGAGAGAGTTCAAGAGAGAATGAGAAGACAGAAGTCTGATAGAGCGAATATAGATAACTTTTTCTAGGAGTTTTACTATAAAGGGTAGTAAAAAAATGAGTATTAAAGCTAGGGTTGGGAATTTGGCGTAGGCGTTCAGCCAAGTGCACTTTCTTATACTGTATCCCAGAATTGTATTTACTTGTCCAGCCACAGGCAAAGCTGGAAAATGACAGCCGTTTCACTTCCTATAGGCAGGTTGTCTCTCACACTGAGGGGAGAACAAGGGACTAAGTGGAACACACCTAGTTCCTTATTGCAAACTTTCCAATCAGTTAACTTTTCATTCCCTAGGGAGGAGTAAGAAAAAGATGGGAAAAAGACTAGGGAAAGTCTCTCACTGTAGAAAAATGAGAAGTCCTAAAAACACTAAAGAGATGTAATGAGTATAGGTCTGGGTGTGTGTGTGTGTGTGTATAAAATTATTATGGTAGCATAGAGGACAATAACCTAGTCCAGACAGCTTGTGGAAAAGAGCGGTTATAGAAAACTACTTAGTAGTGACTATCTGAGTCACAGAAGATGAATGGATGTTCTTGGTGATAGTGAGGAGTGTACTCCATGTAGAAGTTATAAGGACAGAGACACTGAGGTTAGTACAAACTAAACTTAGGTTTTGCTGGAACTTAAAGTGTAAGTTAGGGCTAGAAGAACATTGAGGTCATTTTGACATTGAAGAGCAGAAATGAGGTCATGAAAGAGTTGGGAGATGGTCAAGAAATTGTGGTCACAGAACAGGATAGTTGAAAATTTTCATTTGAAATAATTTCATATGATTACAGGATCCTATGAGTGAGTGATTAAAATGTAGAATGAGTGGAAGTCCAGTAACTAAGATAATATGAATGATGAGGCTATACTCTTAATTCTCTATGGATTTTCAATCTTCTGGGAAATTGGCAGAAATTGGGATTGAGAGAAAGACTAAATCAAGTCTCAAGTCTTCAGTGAATGTGGTAGGGACTAAGATAGATGATAGCAACAAAGAGTAGAGGGTAGAATAAGTGAATGTCTTACTTCCAAAGCAGCATGAAGCTTTTACATGAGGGAGAGAGTAATGGCAGTGAACAACCAGGAAAAGACCAATCTTTCCTGCTTGCTTAGTGCAGTAGGACTTACTGACTAGAGAGGGTTGAAGGGGAGTCAGCATCTGTAAAGGGAGAACCAGATTTCAGTTAAGACTTGGAAATAGAGTGACTGTTCTGGGAAAAACTTCAGGCCTGGAACTGTGGTTCCAGAAGATTAGTGGAATGTGGAGAGAGGGGTTATTAGTAGCAAGAACAGAGGGTGAGACCAGAGAGGTTAGGTTGCTGTCATCATTTTGTGATTGAAACTTAGAGGGATGAGAAGCACATTTGAAAATGACTGATCTCAAATATTTTATTATTGACACAAGTCATTGAGGATTCCAGGTTTTTCTAACTTTGTCTCAGCACAGTTATGAGGGCTGCTATAAGGTTGACACAGAGGGGCTGACTAATGCCTTATTCTGGGTAGAGACCCTTTTAAAAATGTCTAAGGTAGAGGCAAAGGCTGTGGGGTGGTCGGATAGCTCCAAAAAGTTTATGGGTATTTTTCTAATTGTAGGCTGTTGCATCATACTCTGTGTAACATTAAACCAAAACAGCCCATTGCCATTGAGTCGGTTCCGACTCATAGCAACAGTATAGGACAGAGTAGGACTGCTCCATAAGGTTTCCAAAGAGTGGCTGGTGGATTCAAACTGCTGACCTTTTGGTTAGCAGCCGAGCTCTTAACCACTGCGCCACCAGGGCTCCATGTAACGTTAAGGCCCTTGATAAAGTAAAAGAAGAAGAATCCCTTTATGATTATGGATTGGTAGAAGGGTCCTGTTGGGGTATTGAAGTGAGTCTGTGTAAGTGTATGTGCGTTCGAGTGCAGTCACTCATTTTTCTGTTTAATAAATACTTGAGAGGGTATGTGTCAGGCATCTGGAATACATCAGTGAATAAGACAGACAAAAATCCCCATTTCATGGAACATATTTTCTAGTGAAGTTGAGAGGTGGAGGGAGGCAGATAAACATGAAAAATAAGTAAATAAATAATTTAGTGTGCTAGACTATAAGTGATGTGGAAAGAAAAAATAATCAAGATGGAGGTGTTTGGAAAGGTTGCAATTTTAAATGTAATGATCACAGTAGACCTGATTGAGAAGGTGACATTTGAACAAATATTTGAAGGAGAGGGAGTAAACCATGTAACCAATTGGAGGAGGAAGTCCCAGGCATAAGGAACAAGGAACAATTAGTGCAAAAGCTGCAAGGTGGGAGTGTGCCTGGCCTGATTAAGGAATAATGAAGAGTCCCCTGTATACAAATAATTGAACATGAGTTGAATAAGAAGGAAAGCAGTAGAAAGTGAGGTCAGAGTGTTAGGGAAAAAAATGTGGTCAATTGAAGGTTTTTTTGTTTGTTGTTGTTAAATTCTAGTTTATTATAGAAAATATAGATTTGTATTATTTAATATATAGTTCTAATTATTTAATTGAATTTACTATGTTAAAATGTAATAATTAGTTAAAAAAAATGTAAGAGTTTGACTCAAAATTTATTAGCAGTCACTGTAAGTTTGAGGAAGTCACAATCTTTAAGGTTCCAGTTTTCATTCTTTACAGAATGATTTAGAACAAGTGCTGCGTCAAATTGGCGATAAGGACCAAAAGATCCAGAACCTTGAAGCCTTACTACAGAAGAGTAAAGAGAATATTTCCTTACTAGAAAAAGAAAGAGAAGATCTTTATGCAAAAATTCAGGCTGGTGAAGGAGAGACAGCTGTTCTTAACCAGTTACAAGAAAAAAACCATACATTACAAGAACAAGTAAGTTTGTAAATGTATTAAATTTCTAAAATTTACTTTTATCTAAATTTTACTAGATATTTTATTTAAATGATGCTTTATTCTGGCTCTTTTTAGTACTTTTTAAAAATTAAAATAGATGTCAGAGTATATTAAAGGAAGGTTTTTTTTTAATATTAAAACACTTCCCTGGTGTGCGCAGCTGTGCTGGTGGGATCTCTGGGGGCCTTTTAGTTTTTCTTTGTTCTTTTTCTTTTTTCCCTTTTGTTTTTCTTCATTTCTCAGTTTCTCATCTCTCTCTACTTTACTTCTTTTCCTGTCTCCTGACTACCTAGTGCTGTGTGCCATCTCTGCCCCTCCTAGACGGGCTGTGCCTCGAGGCCTGGGAGTCTCTTCCCCGGTTGCTGGTGGGATCCCTGGGGACATTTGTTTTAAAATTTTTTATTTATTTATTTATTTTCCTCTTCTTTCTTCCTTTTTGTTTTTCTTCACTTCTTGGTTTTTTGTCTCTCCACTCCAATGGCAGTCTCACTCAGCACTTAATAAACTTAAACTTAATCATATTAAAAAAAAAACCCATAAAATTTGCCTTTTTAACCATTTTCAAGTATACTCAGTGGCATTAATCATATTCACAGTGTTGTGCAATCATCACCACTCTCCATTTCCCAAAATTTTCATCATCCCAAACAAAAACTCTGTTTATGTTTTTCATGAATAACATCTCGTTTATCTTAGAAATTAGTTCCTATTGTAGTAAAAGTAAATTAACATGATTTGACAAGGGAATCTACAGTTCATATCTCAGGATGTAACTTATTAACCTGTGTGACCATGGGTAAATTATTTCACCTTATTAGTGCATTTGAAAAATAGAGATATGATTAATATGTGTACTTGCCTATTTATGAAACCCTGGTGGCATAGTGGTTAAGTGCTATGGCTGCTAACCAAAAGATCAGCAGTTCAGGTCCACCAGGTGCTCCTTGGAAACTCTATGGAGCAGTTCTACTCTGTCCTATAGGGTCACTATGAGTCGGAATCAACTCGACGACAATGGGTTTGCCTATTTATAGTTAATACAATGAATGAATGAATAAAAGAAGATATTTATAAATTAAAGGTACTAGTCAAGTGTTAGTTGATACTGTGTATTGATTAGTGTATAGACTTAATGGTTACTTAATGTTTTGAAAATGTGTATGGCTATGGACAATATACAGCTAATAATAAATTTAATAAGTTGCCTATTGTTTCAACATTCATATGTAGTTTAAGAGAAACTTATAAAATTTAGATGAATACGTTGTCAAACTGAAAAGAATTAACAGTTGCTTTTTTTGGAGAACTGCCCAATTAGAGAATTAGAATTACCTAAATGAGAAGGTATTAAAATACTGTTAATTTTGGATACATTTGGGATTAGAATGTACCACAAACATTTCCCCAAATTCCAAAGTTAACCTTGATGACCAGTTTTTATGAAGAATTCTTTAGGTTGGTTTTTAGTTATAAGTTTCATACGACTTGACATTGCTTATCATATAATATGATCAGGAAAGCCTATACATGTCTTATTTTTTTAAAAAGAATAAATTCAAATAAATCTATGTATTTCTGCTTCTGACTATGTTAGGAGTAATGGGTACCTATTTATCCTTCTCACCAAAAGCAACTAGAAAAGTGGGGACAAAAATGCACAAAACCACTGTTTTCAGATACTGGGCAAAAGGTAGTGCAGGAGAAGAGAGAGATGTAAAGTGAACCTTTTGACCATGCTGGCATTTCACCTGGAGACATTTTTCAGACTGATGTATGTAGGTGGTGTACATTGATGGTATAGGTAGAGGGAATATAAGCAAAACACAGTGGTCTCACTGAACTGAGGAGTGAGAGATGGAAAATCAGGGAGGTTGACGCAACTTGAATTTGCAGGGCAGAATACCAGAGAGGAAGGAGCAGTGTAGAGATTAAGCTCCAGAAATCTGAGTAGGGATCCATGGGAGCCGTTGGCTGGATGCTAAGCTTTGTGCTCATGAGGTAGGATCCCACAAGGCCAGGCAGTGAACTATTATCGAGGAGCTATAGGCTGAAAGATTTTTAGAGCTCACACTGGGCTGGGAGATATTCAAATTCCAGTCATTCAGTGGGGAGGAGCCAAAATGGCACGATAGACAGAAGCACCACACCGTCCCTCCACAGCAAAGACCCAAAAAACTAAGTAAAACAGAGACAAACATCAGTCTTGGAACCATAAGCGTCATATGAAGAGATAAAGAACTTAGTGAAGCACTGAATGGAGTAAGAAACTGAAAGAGAACAGAGAGTGAGGAGAGATATGAGCAGAGGTCTCTTGTCAGCTAATGCAGCACGGATTCGCCATCTTGGACTCCTGTCGGAGATCGGTGGACAAGGAGTACGGGAAAGCAGCTTATGGAGCTCCCAGCAGGAGACAGAGCACCCGGTAACCAGTGATACATGCTTTCCCATCCCCCACCCTTCTTTCCCTGCTAGGCTTCTGCCGCTTCCTATGGGACCGAGCAACCGCGGCCAGTAGGCGCTGGCTCCATGCTGCGTGGATTTGCCCCGTCCACACCAGCCTGCTCCTTCAGTGCCATTTCTTTGTTGCTGATGTTGCCTTTTTTCGGCTTCTTTTGGTTTCTTCCCTGCCTCTCACCTCCTCCCTCTCCTGTCTCCTGAATAGCTGGTGCTGTGTGCCATCTCCATCCCTTCTAGCCCGGCTGTACTGTGTGGCTTGGGAGCCATTTCCTGGTCTGCACAGCCATGTCAGTGGGATCCCTGGAGGCATCTTTCTTTTTTCTTTTTCTTCATTTCTCAGTTTCTCGTCTCTCTCTACTTATCTTCTTTTCACGTCTCCTGAATACCTGGTGCTGTATGCCGTCTCCACCCCTTCTAGCCAGGCTGTACTGCTCAGCTTGGCAGCCACTTCCTCGGTTGGTGCAGCCATGCCAGTGGGATCCCTGGGGGCATTTCTTTCTTTCTTTCTTTTTTCCTGTCTGTTTTTATTCCATTTATCAGTTTCTCATCTCTACTCACCTTCTTTTCCTGTCTCCTGAATACCTGGCACTGTGTGCCATCTCTGCCTCTTCTAGCCAGGCTGCATTGTGCGGCTTGGAAGCCACTTCCCTGGTGTGCGCAGCTGCGCTGGTGGGATCTCTGGGGGCCTTTTAGTTTTTCTTTGTTCTTTTTCTTTTTTCCCTTTTGTTTTTCTTCATTGCTCAGTGTCTCATCTCTCTCTACTTTACTTCTTTTCCTGTCTCCTGACTACCTAGTGCTGTGTGCCATCTCTGCCCCTCCTAGACGGGCTGTGCCTCGAGGCCTGGGAGTCTCTTCCCCGGTTGCTGGTGGGATCCCTGGGGACATTTGTTTTAAAATTTTTTATTTATTTATTTATTTTCCTCTTCTTTCTTCCTTTTTGTTTTTCTTCACTTCTTGGTTTTTTGTCTCTCCACTCCAATGGCAGTCTCACTCAGCACTTTTTTTTTTTTTTGGCTCCTGTTTCTCTCTCATCTCTCTCCTCTTTCTCATACCCCTCTTCGCTGCCTACATCACAACCTCCCCTTCCCTCCTTCCTACCTCCACCGTGTGCTGAACATTGCACCTCCAGGCAGCACAGGCACAGCATACTGGAACCTGCCCGGCACTGACCCCTGGCACGCCCTGTCAGCTCCAGTATGTGCTACAAACAACCCACGCCAGCCCCTCCCCTTTAGCTGGACCTGTTCTGCTGCACTGTAGCTGAGCGACTAGCCCTACCCATTAGACAAGGAGGTGAAAAGTATTGTGCCCACAGGCGAGCAAACAACAAAGAACGCACAGCTTGCCTGCTCAGAGATAACCATATAAAATAAAACAAAAAAGCAGGATGAAACAAACAAATCTACAGTCAGTAAATGAAGAAAATAACTACTGAATGTCCCCAAGACAGCAGACAGTATCAAAACATACAAAAAACAGGACATGATGGTTCCAGTAGGCATCCAAAATAAAACACCAGATGACTTTCCAGTAGAAGAAGAGACACTGCAACTACCTGATAGGGAATTCAAATCTGTAAAACTCAGAGCTATCCAAGAGTTCAAATGAAAAGCAGACAAACATGAGGAAAAAATAGATGTTCATGGGAAAGGCAGACAAATTCATGGAAAATACAGACAAATCAATGGAAGAATTCAGGAAAGTAATACAGGAACAAAATGTCAGAATAAATTCACAACTAGAAATTATAAAAAAACAATTAGAAATCCAAAAGATAAATAACAAGATTTCAGAAATGGGCAGTGTCATAGAAGGTCTGAGGAGCAGTTTTGAAACAATGGAACATATGGTCAACGAAATTGAAGACAAATACTTGGATACCATTTTGAGAAAAAATCAGAAAAAAAAAAACAAGAAAAATGAAGAAACCCTGAGAATTATGTGAGATACAATCAAAAGCAAAAACTTTTGATTTACTGAAGTTACAAAACAGGAGGAGAAAATGGAAAACACAGAGAGGATCATTGAAGAATTGCTGACAGAAAACTTCCCTAATACCATGAAAGAGGAAAAGCTGACCATCCAATAGGCTCAACAAACCGCATGTAAGATAGACCCCAAAAGAAAATCACCAAGGCATATCATAATCACACTCGCTAAAACCAAAGACAAAGAAAGAATCCTGAGAGCAACTTGAGAAAAACAAAAAGTTACATACAAAGGAGAAATAATAAGACTAAGCTCGGATTATTCGGCAGAAATCATGCAGGCAGGAAGGCAGTGGGATGACATATATAAAGCCTTGAAAGAAAAAATTGACAACCAAGAATAATATATCCTGCAAAATGCACATTCAGATATGATGGTGAAATTCGGACATTTCTGGATAAACAGAAATTAAGGGAATATGTAAAAACCAAGCCAAACTTACAAGAATTATTAAAGAGAGTTCTTTGGCTTGAGAACAAACAAGATCAAACTACAGCCTGAATTTAGGATGCCAGATACCAACCTAGGAAATG